CGATTCATCCACAAACTCACACAACTGCAAAAACGGTGAAAAACCTTACTACTTACCATAACAAAAGCGATTTACAAATTATAATTAATAACAATGCATCTGTTAGCAGTATAAATATATCAGATCAACGAGAATTAAACAGCGGAAAAAATAGTTGCACTTAATAAAAAAATCATTTATAAAGTCGGTAATTGCTATCCGGCCGTGGGCTCGTAGTTGCCATTCAAAAATGAGAGTCTTCGAAATTCGAATTCAGCTGTAGTTTAGATTTGTACGTGTTCTCACCGTTCGAGTTTGTATATAACTAACGGCTGGAATGAGTAGTGCGTTACAGAGGAGAAAGGTCACGCCTGCTTCCATGCAAGGACACTCCAGCGCTCACCACACGCAAGTTCATGGACTAAATATTCTATCCGATGTTTACGACTCCGCGCTCAGTTACGAGCAGTAAAAGGTTTTTATTAATAATTTTTTTATCTTCCCGCTATAACTTAAAAACGGCGACATCCTGCGGCTCGCGATTAAAAGGCCTGTTTGATATAATTGTAAAAACACGTGAAACGTCAGATGAACCCCCTGCAATACGAGTGGATGTGTGGTGAATCTACTGTTTTGGTCGTAATATGCAGTGCGGATTCTTACCTAATGGAATGACCGTCCTTCCGGAAATTGTTTAATATCTCTTCAGAACGTCGTTTTGTACGCTTGTATTTTTCTGGAATTTTTCCGTTTGGCTCTCTTGTGTTTACAACTTAGTTTTAGTTAAGATCTCAGTTTATAACCAGATACTAGGGAGTGCACCGCTTTGGGCTAGCACTAAGAGACCGAGGCGAAGCCAGAAACTCGTGTTTAAGTTCTGGTGAATACTGCTATTGACTCATCCAACTCCAAAGCCACTGGTTGGGCGTATTAACCACGGACCGGTCAGAGGCTCCCACTCAGAAAAATTTCGGTTTGTGTTCGAAAACAGAGTAAGTAGAGAGAATGCTTAATAAAGTAAATTCGTCGGCGATTGTGCAGGGGGGTGACGAAAAATCAATTTAGAAAATGCAGGTATCGTACATATTGACAGCGTATTAACGGGTAGGTGCCATATGCTCTTCATGTTTCGCCGGTGGAGAATAAATTCTCAATGCATAGTATTATCTGGTAGCACTGTAGATCTGCATTCTTAATTTTTCCTTTTTATGGCTAGGTAATTTGAAAATGATTGATTGCGGCATGTTGTTACTTTTACGCTTCATATTAATCAGCATTTACTGCAATCTTGCTACAGTTTTTTGTGCTGATTATACAATACGTAGTTGTACAATATGCAGTTGTTGTATATGTAGTGTTTTTGTGTGCAGAATATCTACAGAATATATATATGTGCGTTTGTGTGGATATCGATTTTGTGTGTTTTTGTGTGCAGAATATCTATAGTTTTGAGTGTTTTTGTGTACAGTAGAATATCTACAGTATTACGAGACAGCATCGAGAACTGCATTCAGTGGACAACGAGCATGCCAGCAGTGCAACAATTTACCCCAATGCTTGGCCGATATTATCCATGCAACTGGGATCTCACCTCAGAAACTGGAGAATCTGGAAGCAAGAGATATACTGCTAAACCTTCAGATCGCGAGATATATTTTGTAGTCTTTGCTGACAGTGAGTAGGCACTAGGCAGCTCGGATTCCTCGACTGACTTCGCAGCATCAGTGGTGCTCACCAGCAAAAGTGGATAGTACAGTAATACCATTGAAAGTAAACTTTGAAATTCCTTGTAGCGAATGTCCTAATATCGGAAGCGGTTCCAAAACCCAGCTACGCCAGGCGGGCAGAATGATGACGAGATGATGACGTGATAGTATGATGAGGTGATCTCATTCACCCCTACCTGAACAAGCGTATCTGCAAGCGGGGGGCGGAGCGTGCTAGTTAAGGTTTTATTGCGTGCGCGTTACAGGGAACGTGCGAGTTTAAGCTAGGATTCGAGCAGCGCTGTTAGGCGTTAGCTATCTCACTTGTCAGTACATCAGTACAGCCAATCCACATTGCCATAGACTACCATTGGTAGACACGTCGGTTTACGTCACAGTCCCACACACTGCTTGCAGTACGTACATAATTAAAACGGTATTAGTAATTTTTAATTAGCAGTCTGATTGGGTGCTGCCATCTCGTTTCAACCGATGGCTCTGCACGAACCCCGAAAACACCTTCCGGCTTCCGCGCATGTCAGAACGACCGGCGTCTCACCTATCTCGATATAGTGGGAGGAGCGTAAGCTCAGAACAGATCCCCCCTATTGGCTCGCCATTTTTCGTTTCATGCCAGCTTCCCTCAAACTCGCTGCCCATTGGCAGTCCAAACTAACCCGTGTGGCCATTTGAATGTGGAAATTTCAGTTGTCCGTCAATATCAGTGAATTTTTGATTGCTAGCTAGCAGTTTTCTGCTATTTTCAATTTTCATCGCTTCACGCTAGTACTTACTCCAATCTCGACTACCGTTTCATGCTGTCCGCATTGGGATTCTGCTTTTCTTTTCGGTGTCACGCTCCACTGCTAAATGGATCTGAAAAGGTGAGCACAATGCAGCGCAGTCCGCGAACACGAACTCTAGCTCTGTACAGCTGGTTTTCGCTAACAGCGTTGCCTCTCGTTTTCTCCCGTGAATCCTACTTCACCGTGCAGTTTTTGTGCTTACTGTGCACGGAGATAACACGGGGAATTTCTGAGGATGTAAGCATCAGCGGTTGACGGTGGAGGGATGGGGAAAGTGCGTTCTAGATTTTCGTAACTGATTTCCTGACTAACTTTAGAAGGAAGCACATTTTCCGAAGAATTCGGAATTTCAGATTATACGAGCATGGTAACACTGGTAGGAAATCAGCTGCCAATGGTGAGATTGCATGAATTTCTGAGTGCGAGCCTCTTGAGAAGATCGAAACTTCAGCCAGACGCTTTGTTTGTGTTCGTTTTTGAATTTACTTATTTAGTTAAATTTACCACATTGTTAAAATATTTTTAACGTGTTGATTAAATTTGTTGTTTGTAATTTCTTCAATGATAATTTAAAGTTAATGATTCAATTTTAATTTTTAGGCAGTTTATTTCTGGACAAGCTTTGATTGGATTTATTTTGTTTAAATTGTAAAGATCCGCCTTGGTACAGATATTTAATGTGTGGATTAGTTAGGGTATAATATGTGCTTCTCGAAGTATTTCTAGCTTCGCTTCGGTCTTTTAGTGCTAGCGAGCAGCGGTGCACTTGCCTAGTTTATATTCTGTGCTAATGTTGCGTTTCTTGTCTGTCGGTTGCAGCGGCTCAGCCTGGCATCCGTGGAGGTGATGGTGCGGGAGACTGCGCTGAAGGTGGGCGAGGGCTGCGACACAGTCGATGTGTGGGATGCGAGCGGGCGCTTATTGTTCGGGCGTGTCGTGGATGTGGCGCAGAAAGGGCTGTACATCGACCTGATGTGCGCGGGTCGGCGCCGCGAGCTGATCCCCTTCGGACGCATCTTTCACCGGACGTTTGGCGTTGGCAACGATTTGGAGGAGAGTCCCACGGAGGGTGAACGCTGCCTCATGGAGGTGCTGCTGCGTCCGCAGCCCCATTCTCCCTGGACGTGGGTCAGCGCCGAGATGGCGCTGTACTCGCCCACTCGGCTGCTCATCTGTTTAAGCGCCACTCCGCTGCGTCTGCTCAACGCGGCGGGCGTGGCTACCGGGCCTCTGCTCGTCCTCCCGAGCACCCGCATCCGCTACCCGCCTACGGATCTGGACGAGGCCAGCTGGAAGCGCATGCTGGCCGGAGCGAGCGGGCCCCCCGGGAAGGCGGCGTTGCGGGACTACTATGGGGAGGATTACGAGGGCGCCCTGGTGCGCCGCGGGGACTACGCCGTCGGCCAGGTGCAGTTGCCAGATTCGTGCGCCGCCCTGCCGGAGCCAGTGCAGCGCTGTCTCCTGGAGGCCTGGCGGGACCGCTGCCGCAGCAGGGCCGTGCTGCGATGCGGCATGGCTGTCGAGCGGCGACCCGGGTTTGTGTTTGTGCGCCGGCTGGAGGACACTGACGCCGGTTTTTTCTATGTGGAGCGCACGGACCCAGACTGGGAAGAATGGCCGCACTGGGTAAGGATGCTTTGATTTGTGTTAAAATTCCAACGTTTTTCTGCCCTTTCCCCTTAAATCTTCTAATGTTAGGATCTGATATAAATTATTTGAAAAAAACAGCACTTTTTCCAGAGTAATTTCAAATGTTCTCAGACTTGCGTAAACCCGCTTAATTTCGAAATGGATTTTGTTTAATATTTGCAATTTGCGATCTGGAAGTTGTGACTGAAAGTGCAAGCCTAGCAGTTATTCAGTGCGCCTGGATTCCTGGCCGGACATGGACGCGCTGATGTAGAGCGAATTAGACACCATACAAAAGTTAACATGCTGATGTTGCAGACTGGCTTTAAGGAGAATGCTGCGCGCCTTCAACTGGCGTTGCCGCGGATGCTGCGAATGCTGGACTTGTCCGTGGCCTCTTCCGGTGACGACGGATTGCGTCTTTCACTGCCGCTCCTGTCAGCAGTCTTCGCCCACCTCGACACGATCCAGCAGACGCGAGTGCGCCCCGTCTGCGCCCTCTGGGATGGCGTCCTGCAGTCCGGCGTGCTGGCCAACGTCCTCGTCATCGGGCCCAACAGCTACCCCTTCGCCGACTACGCCCTGATGGCCACCCTCCGCCACTGCTTCCGCACCGCCACCCGCCACCTCATCTTCCGCGGAGGGTATCTAGACACCCTTCTGAAGGTGGCCGCGATGGCCGCCCACTTCCCGGGCATCCGTGTGCCGGTGGTGCACCTCGTGCGCATGGAGTGGCAGCTGTCCGTTGACCCCTGTCCGCGCAACAAGGAGTACGACTCCTACGAGATCCGGGTGGCGGACGACTTTGCGGAGGCGCTGGGTCGGCTGCCGGGCGCGGAGGTGGTGCTGCTGCAGTGCCGGGTGCGCCTGCTCAGCGTCAACCCCCGTGCGACCGAGCCGGACCTCCCAAACCGGGATACGGTGGCCTTCATCATGGACATACCGGCCCACATTTCCCTGGCCCGTTTGCAGGTAGCCAGCGCGGATCTGGCCGAGACGGTGTGGACGCTGATCGCGGAGAGCGTCGAGTGGCGCGTGACCGGGGAGGAGGTGCGGCGGGCGGCCGAATGGGTGGCCTGGATCAAGGCCAACCGGGCGCAACTGCATCTCAAGAAACACAGCCGGCGGTATTGGGAAGGGACCATGATGAAAATGCTGTGCCAGGTACCGTAGGTGCAGCTTGCTGCTGTGTTTTAATCTCAGCAAGTATTACTTCAAGTAGTACCCAATTACTCCAACCACACGCCATTCAGCAGAGTTTAAACGAAATTTTGTTTGGTTTGCGGGGAACCGAAAGCGGAAGATAGTGTACTTGATGCATGGTTGCTTTGCAGACGTTGTGTGGGCTGCAGGCGCTGGGTCTGGACGGTTCACCCGGACTAGGCGGCTGTCGGTGCAAGGATGCGGTTTTCCGTCAGCCCTTGTCCCTCTCCCAGCTGTCGCCGCTGGCGCTGGGCTGCGTGGTGCAGTGCGCCGAGGAGTGGGAGCTGCGCTGCAAGGGGCGCCTGTGGTTTGGGAAAACGGACGAGCGGGCATTCTTCCGGACCCTCGTGGAGACACGCGCCTGGCGTCCCTGAACGGCTGTCCGTTGAGCCACACGGCCGCTCCGGCCGCACACTCGTTTCTTCACTGATCAACTAGTTTCGGCAGTATTTTGTCCCTTCGCTGCTTGTGATGCAGCTTGTTTTTGTGCGGATGTTCGGTGTTATTTGCGAATTTTGTCGTTTGACTGCCGGTGGTTAATAGAGTTATTTTAACTGTCGTTTCTTAGGCGATTTTGTCACGCGAAGTTTCTCTCGGCCGGTTGGTGATAAATAATAATACAGCTATGAATACAAGGGAGCGATGGATAATAATACAGCTATGAATACAAGGGAGCGATGGTTAGCGCTCTTCGTGTCGCCAGTAAACGCTCGTGTTTGAAGGATTGAAAATGGTTAAGTATTTCCGTTGCGTTTCCTCTTGTTACTAAATATTTATCGTATTGAAAGATAAGTAAATTGCAGGGCTGCATTTGACAACAAAATGGCCAATTTTTCATGAGCGATTTCGCTGGTTTGTTTGCATTTTTCATCTTAAATTGCCAGCAATTTGACTGTCGAATCAACTACAGCAAACAAGTTACCAACAAAACCTACGACACCGGTACAACGGGAATGACGAAGCATACGGTTACCAGCGCTGTAACTTCAGCAGACACGAAAACCGAAGGTTTCACAAGATCCTATTTTGATTTCACCCGCCACCACTACCGGGGCAATGGTAACAATGACTGTGGGTACGACGACTGCTTCGGCAACGTCACCAGATACATCTTCAATGATGGCTACATCCACGGAACCCATAACTACGCTCAGCCCTGGTACAACGGAAACCAGCCGACTTTATTAAGAAGCACAATAGGACTTACGATCACCGTCAACCGGAGTCCAACCATGTTTGCCACTGGCAGCTCTGGTTAGATAGCAGTCCTCACAGGATAGCTTTCGGCATTAAATTTTTTGGTATGGAATTGTTTAGATAGAATATTCGGTACCTTTTATTCAACAGTTGCAGTGCAGATTGAGTGTCGGGTTTTAATTTAACTGAGATGCACTTGAACATGTGACTTTCTTTCGCTCATTAATTAATGTACCAGCACTTATTTGCGTATTCATCGAGTCGTTTATTTACTTCTACTGTAATTAAAATATCAGGTTGTTGATTGACAATCTGTTTGAAAACCGAGTCATCGCAAAAACCATTTTGATGGTAAACTCATTTGTTTCGTACTACTGCTGCGACAAACGAATGCTTATTAATGAATTTATTGCGAGTATAAATGTGACTGCCGAACGCAAAGCCACACGAGTACATACGTATCTTTGTATCTAGCGTTCCAGTACAAAACAATCATGCGAATATGAACTGCAGATACCGTACAACGCACAATGCTTTTTTGAAATCGACGAACATGAATTTTCTGATGGGTTTCCTGTTCTTACATGTGATACCTGTACTCGTATAGATGCGGCCCATCATACGAGTACAGCAGCAGTGCTCTGCCAGTGCCGCTCTACATTAGTATCTACGCCAGTAGCCTATACTACTGTAGAGCGGCACTGGCTCTGCATACCGAACTCTTTAACTTGCATTGTTAATATTTCCACTACAATAATTAAGCAGCACCCTGAACTGGAGTACTTATATAAGTTTTGTATGTTTAGCAGCGTGTAATGCAAAACACTTCGCATTAAAATAAATTGCATAACTTAATCACGCCTGTGTGTCAAAACAACCTGCCGTTGAGTTTTGTGTGTGCTGGGCGCTATCAAAACTATTAAACACTAACAAACAAACATCCATGTCGTATTGGTTGTGGTGATATCGGTGATGGTTCCAGTGGAATCCGTTGTGTTGCTTTCCGTTGTGAACTATGTTGTAATCGGGGTAGAAGGACTGCTGGCGGTTGTGGTTTCCGTCGTAGTCGTGGTATCAGTACTGATCGTAGCCGTACCGTCGTATCAGTATCGTCGTAGTCCTGGTCTGCCATGTTTGTAGCGACGGCATAATACCTTTATTATTACCTGATACCTTTATTATTACCAGTTACTATCATTACCCTGCAGCTGCTACGGCACGATGGACATCGGATATTATTCACACTCGCGAGAATACACATCTGTGCACTTGTATCTACGTGTACTTTCCACTATACACAACAGAGCGCTACTGTCAGTTGAGGTTTCCGTTGGAGTCGAGGTGATGTCGGTGATGGTGTTCTCAGTTGTGGTTCCCAGCTCAGACGGCGTATTACCAATGTCGGCTCCGCTAACGGTACTGTAATTGTATCGGATTTAACTGCAGACTCGTGGTAGATAATGCTTCCGTTGTAGTTGCGGGCGATGTGGTGACAGCAGTAGTTAATGGATATCTGCAGATATTCCGTGTGCTGTCCTTCCTCCACGGGGCAGTCCATAGACAGTGCTGTCCACCAATCTTCCACGTCGGAAATGGAATTGCGCGTCCGAGGACCGGCAGATTCACGTCGATGTTGGACTGCGTGCAGACGGTATCCGAATCCATACACTGGGCTCCGGGTTGCCGGCACCGGCATCCGGAATGGCAACCATCCGGAAATCCGGTGGCACTGGCCACCGGAAGGCAACGGCTGCTGTCACTGCACGTCTAGCCCAAATAAAAAGTCGATGCTTTGCGCCTTGGGAATATTAACGCTCATGAGGGGGATAATGGCGAAACTTTGACCAGAAGTTTGTGCACCAACCGACGAAAATGACACTTGATAATCTGTACGCAACATTGCACAGAGAAACATTCTTTCTGTTTTTTTACGCCAGTTATTTGGGTAATTAGATTTTGGAATCATAAAACCTTTCAACGATGCATGCGCAGCACTAAATAAAAACTGTTAATGAGGGTTAATAAACTCGTAACACATATACTGTAACTACAATCTGGATGTACTAAAAAAGGGTGCGTTTATCGGTATATTAGCGTAATGAAGGAATCAGAGTGAGTAGCGGTAATACTGCCCCGGGATTTCAAAAGTATCACTTCAAAAAGCATGTTAACCAGACCGGGAGTACTGTAAATTTGTAATTTCGATCGCGGTGTGGATTAATTAGCATGGTAATAAACGTGCCGTTAGTATTTTGTCTTAAACACATAATTATGCTTTATGCGGCACATTCGCCAAACCTTACAGTTATTCAACGTATAAAATTTCTTCCTTCCAGTGCAGCTAACAGTAAATACTATTGAGGACTGCTAAGATATTTCAGATACATAGTTGTTATCGTCTATTATGTAACTAAAATACTGCTATGTACGTATACTCGTATAGTCGCATGCAAAATTGCTGTTTTGCGCTCCGTTGATTTGGATTACATTAAAGAGATATCTGTTGAGAGTCTAAATGGTACACGCAGAATTATTCAGTGCCGACAAAACAATGCAATGCGCAAGCAGAACATACGCAGTTAAACATATGCCGAATTCGCTTCGTTTAGATTGTTTTACCGTTTATGTGCACAGTAAACCATGGTTTAAGAAAGCATGTTAAAATATTTCTGTACGTTTTTGCTCTTATATGACTTATCTGTATGAGTACTCGTATGTTAATCAGGCGCTGCAATCCAACGCACCCCGGATAATCTAAATTGATCCTACGCTAGACCTGGAGCATAATATTATAAATAATACCTTCATTAATGATCGTACATGTATGTGAATTAGCAACGGTACCATCAGGCGTGCCGAGGGTATAAGAGGCGTAGCGTGCCTAGCGCTTGTCATTTGGAATGAGAGAATATCGTGTGACATACACCGCCATATGCAGAACTCCATTCGGAAACGGATCCGTTTTTTCGTCGTTAATGTCGTTTTGCTTTTAATGTCGCTTACTATAACACATTTAAATAAAGTTATACACTTTTATTACTGAAATGCCATATATATGGAAGTAATCTAACCATGCTTTTGCACTGACATGGTGCAAATATGTTTGAGAGTTCATGATCAATGTTGAAATTATATGCTGCGCAAAATGAGAAAATGAAAATATTTTTGAATTGGTGTTTGTGTTTACTGTAAGTAGTTCCAGAAAATTTTGTAAACAGCCTGTGGATTGGCGAAAATTGCTTGACCTATGGAATGGTTGTAGTAGCCAATTTAGTTATAAAAGCGATTCTCTAAAAACGCGCGCTAAAGACTTATTGTAAAAGTTTATTTAGGATGTTATAGGGCGCGCCTTTCTGGAATATCTTCAGGATATGTAAATAATTCAGATAATGTTTACAAAATAGTAGTAGTTAGTCCTAGAGTAGGTACCACTATACACTTTTTATGATATAAAGGAAAACGTCTTTCCGCGAAATTGTTGATATTGGATCACGGTGCAAACGTCTCAGTATATTTTCAAATAGTAATAAGAGCTGAAGTTTTTACAAAATTGACTTCGTTATTTTTTTTGGCTTGCAAATTGCAATGCTCAAAAGATCCGTTTAAACTTTTCAAAACTAGTTCAGTTCTATGCAAAATTTTAAAGATTAGTGATAAATTGCAGAAAAGTGCAAATACATATGTAAGTTGTAAATGTATGATTATAAAGTAAACGCAGTAGAAGTGCAACATAATTTGTAAGTCGTTGCTGAAAACTTGCCATAAATCGTTTTTCTCAGTCGTTGTAACGACAAGTTAATGACGCTCACACTTCACAGGTTCTGTACAAGAGTAAACGAAAGCTATGCAAGTACAGCGAATTCGCCGCCCTGGCTACGTTATATGGCAAGAGCTATAACGTGGGACATCATCTGCTTTTGCAGAAAATGGTGTGCGACATTTTGTTGATACAGCTGAAATTGTTAAGATTAGTTTATTTTTGTAGTACTTTTTGTTCTGAACAAGTCCTCTTTTATTGTTCTTGGGAAAAACAAGTAAAAGAGCATACACACTTGGAAATGTGGACTGCACTGGTGTTTTTCCCATAGACGCATATACTTAACCTTGCGGAGCGTCTCATTCCAAATGACACAATAGAGCCGAAATCACACCTCATTAGCGATGGTACCGTTGTCAATTGCAGTTGTTGCAATATGGTC